ACATTAATAGTTTCATTATGGGTTCCAGTACACACATTAATAGTTTCATTATGGGTTCAAGTATACACATTAATAGTTTCATTATGGGTTCAAGTACACACATTAATAGTTTCATTATGGGTTCCAGTACACACATTAATGGTTTCATTAGGGGTTCCAGTATACACATTAATAGTTTCATTATGAGTTCCAGTTCACACATTAATAGTTTCATTATGGGTTCCAGTACACACATTAATGGTTTCATTAGGGGTTCCAGTATGCACATTAATAGTTTCATTATGGGTTCCAGTTCACACATTAATGGTTTCATTATGGGTTCAAGTACACACATTAATAGTTTCATTATGGGTTCCAGTACACACATTAATGGTTTCATTATGGGTTCAAGTACACATGTTAACAGTCTCATTATGGGTTCCAGTACACACATTAATAGTTTCGTTATGGATTCAAGTACACACATTAATAGTTTTATTATGGGTTCCAGTACACACATTAATTAAATCTACAAATAATTCCAAGTGTACTTGATAACCAATTACACACTCACAATGGCATTACTGAACACAATACTGTTTCATTCTGGGTTTTAGTACACACATTATAAGCTTTGTTCTGGTTTCCAATACACAAATTAATGGTTCCATTATGGGTTTTAGTACACACGGTTGTGAATTCATTTTTGCAAGAGAAACTAGAGTGACACTTATTTCTTACTTCATTCATAGAAAGTTGCCTCTCTCCTGCAGTCAGATCATGCATGTTGATTTCTTTCAAAATAACCAGTGAGTCATCATTTTTATTTCTATACAACACAGCTGTACCAAAAGCCCCTAAAACAGTACAAATATGTCAGGTTTTAGTAATGATTAATCTAGAAATTATAAAGAAAAACAGATATTCAATCATCTATGACACTTATGTGTATGTACACACACAAAAATGACAAAATTTATGATGGTAAGAAGACTTAACCATGCTTTCTCTAAATATAAACATAAACTGTACAAAATATAACAGACACTGGTCTGAAATTACATGAACTTGACAGTCATTCTAGTTGGTAGTGTTGTCAGCAATTTAACATAAAACAAACAGAATTTTAAATTTTATGAATTTTATTTTTGAGAAACTGATGCAAACAGAGTGATATACTTGTCAAAACATTAGTAAACATTCAAGGTCTAATAACTTGAATGTCAAATAGATAAATTTCATAAAATACAATGCAAAAGATATAAATCAAAATGATAGGCATTTTTAAGATAAAATGAAAAAGTCTCAAAGCTTGCTTATACGAATACCAATTACACAAAACAAAAAGTTATAAATACTAACATTTTCCTAAACTGAAAATGTATTTCCAGTAGATAATTACCTGTTCTCATAAAAAGCTTTCTGAACTTTACTGCCCTCTATTGGCACAAAGTTGATACTCCCACCTAACCTCACTTATGTTGATGTGAGACATCTGCATACTAACATGTAAATGATCATGCAGCAACACTCCACCAATTGTAGTGCAACACTATCACTATTGTAACTAGCACACTCTCCAACCTTTTAGTCCTCAATTACTTCAAACTAAACCACACCAGAAGTGGGGAGGATGGGTGGAAAATGTTAGTGGAAGTAAGTATCTATCAGAAATACATTTTCAGTTAAGGAAAATGTTAACTTCCGATATAATGTCTTAACTCCTCTCACAAAAAGCTAGAATCCTACATTGAACAGGTGGAAAGACTGGTGAGAAAATGATATCCCTTTAGAAAGTATACAAAGGAAAACCATGGAGTGTGAGAAAAGCTAAATACAGGTATACTCTTCACCCTCTATTAATGTATAGCCAAGAGGGAAGAACAAAGAAGGGACCCCATTAAAATGAAAGAAAATAACAGACTCCCCTGGTGTTGAATGACTAGATCACATCATACCACAATTCAACCATCCAGTACCCACTCAGCATGTGCACACCTCCAACACAACCATAACCATATCTACTGGAAACTGACATCCAGGGGATGATAAGAAGGTGGAGAGCCAAGGTGGGAATGCATCTCCAGTCCATAACCAAACAGCATTAAAAATTGATTGTCCAGTCTCTGGTAGAAGGAGGGTAACTTGCCACAGACATGTGAGGACTTATGTGGCTGGTCCAGCTCTATCATCCAACCATCACCATATCCACTGGGACCTGAGGAGGCAAACTGGATATTTTGGCAGAATGCATTGTCCATTACTTAGCAGCATCTGGCATTGTACATCAAGTCTGTGGTAGGAGTGCACCAATGTCATCTAGACTGGCAGAATGCCACCACCCTACTCTCAAATGAATGGTATTGAGTACACTCAGGAGGACTGGCCTTCAAGGTCCACCACCCAAGTGGTTAGAAACTGGTAAGTGGGAAGGACTCCTGTACTTCCCTAGAAGAAGGTGGAAAAGAGTGTGTCGGTGAGTCCAGAGGAACGCAGCACCAGAGACAGTGCAATGGGAGACCGTGATAACTTATTTTGAAAAGCAAACCGATTCTGTAATTGACAGTACACAGATCATCAGAGATGGTCTGTAATCCCTGTCTGCTTTACTCATGTTAGTCCATGAGTGTATGGTCTGGTGTAAACATTTTTAAGAAGCAAAACCCCACGAGGAATACCTTCTAGCAGTCTTGCGGAACACCACATCTTTATGGTGAGCATAACTTGACACACAGGTCTTACAGTGCAGATTTAAGAATAAGTATACCTGGTCAGGCAACACTCACCGCTGGGTGGGATCCATCCAACTATGCATCAAAGACCTCTGAAAAGGAAACAAGATTAATGGAGAACTTATCCACTCAAAAAGAATATGTGTAGCACAAAATGGCAACTGGAAGAATACAAAATCCTTTGGAACAAGAAAAGACTAGTTAGTGAAGATAATAAGCAGTAAAGGTATGAAGAGTGATCCACATACTGACACCAATGAAATCCTTCTATGGATGAAGGAAATGAGCATCCAGGGACAGGATGAGATGATGAATATGAAGGGAAATACACAGAAAATACGAAAATAATCTGGAGAAAAGGAAGAATAAGCCAGATGAGTCTACTGGCAAATCCAACCCATAATGATAATTAGATATTTGTAACAGGACTGGGAGGATTCCAAGGAATAAACACTGGGAGCATTTAACATGGAAGAAATCAGTGTGCACCCGATAACAGGAGAGAGCCACAACCAGACAGAGGAGTGTGAAGGCAGAAATACCCACACAGACTGCTGAAGTATTGAGCAAAAAGGAAGATCTGGGAAATCCCACATTAGCAAAGGGAAACAGTCCATTGTTATCTAACCCACTGAGGAAGAAAAAGAAGGATGCCTCACACAACAGAAAAAACTGTCCCACCAGACCAGGGACTGGACAAAAACATACATGAAAATGAACAATGTGAACAGACAGATAAAACATGCCATGCTGGGTCATAAGAGGGAGGAAGGAATAGGGAAAGGTGATACAAGAAGATGGTGCCCAAGAGGAAACCACAGCAGAACTATCCAAATTGGAGACACCAAAAGAACCTGACACAGAGTGGTCTGGATGATGGAAAGAGACCAGGAAAGCAGATAAATGGTAGATTATGCAAATATAGGTAAAGACCATTCCAATCCAGACCAAAAGCAACCAATGCTACAGCCAAAGAATATGAAACAAAACTAGGAGTGCTAAGAATTGAGATGAGTGAAAAAAGCATCTAGATAAGGAACACCCCACAGGGCACAAAGCCTCCCTGAAATACCCATGGGTCCAGGGACCACTTTATAGGAAAGATCCTATTAGGATGTGATAAATGATCTGCAATGAGATCCAGGGCACCTGGAATAATGATAAGCCAAAAAAAGAATTTTATGGCTGTTGCCCAATACAGGAGAACCAGTGGCCTAAACCAGAGGTCACTTAACCTAGTGCCCTCTTGCCTGAAGATGTACAAGACTATAGATGAGTAGTCAGAAAAAGACTATCACCAACCATCCCTGTAGGGCTGGAAGAAAGGGTACAGACCCCAACAAACTGCTAGGAGCTTCCAGGGATGGAAAGAAGAGAGGACTTCGAGAAAGACAACCATCCCAAAACCTCTTGAACAACCAGAAAATCATCCCTACTGTAAAGGGAAGCCTACAGATGTAGAGGAGGATGAGAAACACCTAAACAGGTGTTGTCTTGATCCAACCAACAGGCGAAGTCAGTCTGGGAGGAAGATGAAAGGATGAAAGGAGCATTCAAGGGATCCCAAACAAGGCTCCTCTGGACCAAAAAACCCAGTGAGGACATGACCCAAGAGGGATGAGTTCCTGAGAAGCCCACATCCCCAAAAAAAGAAGAACCTCTCACACAATGGGAGAAGCAGAGGAGGAGAGGCTGTACACCAGAATCTACATAGCCCTAAACCAACAAGGTAGAAGACTGGACCCAACGGAGTAGGGAAGAAAAAAACACCCAAAGAAGAACTAGGAATTGTGTGGAAGTGAGAGAAAACATTTTCACCTTCACAAACCAACCAACATGAGTCTTTACTCTTAGAAGAAAATTAGTAAAAAATGCAGGATCAGACTGAGAGAAAGCCAAATGTCTATGCCACAGTGGAAAAGATGGTCTCTGGAAAGGAACAGGACAGGCAAACACCATCCAATAAAAAATAGTATAGAGCCAAGGAGAGATCTGATGGAGGAGTTCAGACTAAAAACACATAGCCCTGTGGATGAAATGAAGAAAATTAAGATGCTGGGGAGAAGTTAATGAGGAGGAATGCATCTGAACACAATGCCCTCCGTCCACCACAAGCCAAGAGGGAAACCCAACAAAGGGGTAATTATGACTCCGTGGCTAAAAGTGGGAGGACCAATAAACAGTTCAGAGGTGACCTAGCAAAGACAGAGCACCAGTCCCATAACTTCTAGAGGACAAAAACATATGGGAATAAAAAAACCCAAATATATAAATCTCCCCATATGATGGCACCCTTGCAAGGCAAGTCCCAAACCACCTCCTAAATACTCTGGCAGGAAAAAGGAATTCATGGAGGAGTGGGAATCGAAAAATGACCAAACCAACTGCAATCACCTCAGGATCCAAGGATCTGTGACAAATGATCTCCAAACTTGGGTAAAGCTGTCTAAAACATTGTTGTAGCATGTCTGATGTAGTATAAATGGTACAACTACCACCATGTGCAATCAAATTCCGAACCCCCAGTGTTCGAAGTCCATATACATAACGTTGTCCCAATGAGGGGACATGAGCCTGCCCTCCCCATTCTGGAGGATAGAACTGACCAGAAAGAGAAACAGGGACAAGACAGGTGTGGGAGAAAAGGGAAGTCAAGTTAAGCCCCAAGAAATCAGCTGTAGTAGTTACAGCAACTGAGGTTGAAACCATGTGTCATTGCAAGGATATTAAAATTGGAGATGACAGGAAAAAAAAAAGAAATTAAATAATAAACTTGAGAGAAAACACATCCTAACAGACAACTATCAATCGAGAAGTGATTAAGGGCTGCAAGGTTGGAAAGGCACTAGTTACAATAGGGGTAGTGTCGTATTCCTAGTGGTGGAAGGTTGCTACATGATCATTTGCATGTTAGTATACAGATGTCTCATGTTAACATGCATGGGGGTAGGTAGGAGTATGAAGGCTAGTGATGAGAGAAAATCTGCACCAATAAAGGGTAGTGTAAACTGAGAAAGGTTTTTTTTGAGAGAGGAGATAAGATATCATATTGGAATTTAAATTTCTTCACATTACAATTTCAAAAGTAATCAATTAAATATTGTAAACCTTTATTTTCATTACACATTCCTTTCATTAACAATCATTTTTTGCAACCAATTAAATATCACAGGAAATTAAATCTTTTAGCAGAACAATCACCTTTCCCCACAGTTCGTATTTTTTCATATTCAGCCATACTCTGTGAACGGCTACGTGATTCAATGGGTCCATATAATACATCTTTTAGTTTCTCTGGTATGAAATACAGGGCACCAACTGGACTAAAAATACAAAATAGGGTAATAATAATAACAAAAAGTTCTTCAAACAAAATCATATCAATTCAAACTAAAACAAATATACATTCCACACTCAGTCATTATTTGCTCATATAGAATATTTTTTATTTCCAAAAAACATCAACTTGCTAACATGAACTTTCCTAAAAATTACTTTAAAAGGTTCTTATTCAAACACTTAGGACAAGCTTATCAATCAACACTACTAAACTACCAAATCAAAAGATATCAGGGTTTTTGTTCTAGTTATACATCCAAACTAATTGTTATGAACAAATTACATGCTATCAACAAAAATGAGAGTAAAATATTCGAAAAAAAAACTTTTCAGTGGAAGGACCTCTTGAAATTCCTCATTTCTATTATAAACAGATAAATATGAAATGTTTAACACCTACAGAACTCTGAATATAGTAAACTTACAGAACTTGCTCAACATCATTTATCACTTGAAGCACTCTTGTATCTGACCCTGGTAGATCTTTAGAAAAGTCTACTTTACACTGCAATAAAAAGGTCAGTCACAAACTTATAAAGACACTGAAAAACATCTAAGATATATATAAAATTTCCCTTATTCTAAGGTTTGACAAAGGTTGCATATTTTTCTACAATACTCAGCAAAGTCAATGACAAATGGTGTAACCCAAATGCATGCTATATGTCTTTACTTTTATGGCAGTTTGGAACGTATTTTTTTTTGTATTTCCACACTTTCATTGAAAAAAAAAAGAGAGTTTCAATAATCTTTCTACTGAAAATGTAACCCTAAATAACTTTCTGAAACTGGTCAAAAATGCATGGTAAAGAATCAAAATTAATTCTAGAATTCATCAATGTTATTTCACTTGTAATTTATACAAGGTTAGTGTTTACACTTTGGCTAGCAACTTTGTAAAAACAAGAAATTCCTCATCATTATGTATATATAAACATGCATGTTAACTGAATATTTTTTATACATGACCTAAAGATTATTTTAGGTAATTTGGCAGCATAACATACATCTATTAAAATCTTTATATAAGTTTATAAACTGTACGGTTTCGTCTTGTAGATTTTATACTATAATTTGAGGAGCATACAATTTAATATCCTAAGAAAGATAATTTTAGAAACCGTAAGGACTTACTTTTGGGATCTGGTAATGTTTTACAGCTTGATTACACAACCTGCAGACAGAACTCAATCACACATTAACTGTGTTTGAAGATATGAATCTTTTTTTTTATTTTTACAGACTAATGATTATGCAATACAACATTAGTTTGGTACGAGATCTTGATTCAGATATCTAAATATTAAGTTGATTTATAAAATATTGAAGGCATATTGCACAAATAAATTATTATGTAGATATGACAAACAGGAATGCTAAATGACATGAAGTTTCTATTTAAAAATCTTATTAGAAAAATGTAAACATCTCAACCATCATACGTAAATATATTTACCATATATATATAAACAATTTCATGCACCAGGATCTTACCTTATGCAAATACTTATATATACTTTTAATGTAAAATATACAGAGTGGTGTCAACAAATAGCTACTTTTGAAATTTTCATAGGCTAGAATTTACAATATTTTGTGACCACAAACCCTTTATTAAAGCCATCTTGCTTCAATACTAATCAAACAAAAATAATACTAAAGTCTCAATTTAACATTTAATATCATTATCTTTGTGATCACATAGCCTTTACTAAAGCTACCTTGCCTAAATATTAATCAAGTAAAAATAATACTCAAGTCTCATTTTAACATTTCATATCATTATCTTTGTGATCACACAGCCTTTACTAAAGCTACCTTGCCTAAATATTAATCAAGTAAAAATAAAACACAAGTCTCAACTTAACATTTACACCTAATTCATAAGTAATGATAGGGATTACTGCATTGAATAATTACTTTTAAATTATAGGGGTCACAGTGTTCAGATTTCATAATTTTGGATATAACAAGTGAATGATTGTGTCAATACTACCCAAAGGCAGAGGTTGACCACCATTTCAAAGGAAGTTTAAGAAGAACAGTTTAGTATTCAATTTCCACATAATTGGTGAAGTTAAGCTGTGAGCAGGACAGATGGAATTAGGTACCTTAGAAAATTCAATTCTTCACTATTCATCTGTGTGTATATTTGAGTTTGTTTAGAGCATAAATTTGTTTTTAAACCAAATTAAAATATATAAAATGCCAAAAACAAAGAATAAGCACAACAATTGATAAAAGTTGCAACATATTATTTTTATAATACTCTATAATGCTGATCATTTCTGCCATTCTGCAATTTTTTTATTATTTATTTATTTCTGTCAGTGAACTGTTGAAGAATTATTGTTCATTACTTACAATTAGTAATAAATGTAATAGATAAAACCTAGCCAATTGTTCTTATAGAATTCATAATCACATCTAACTGAAAAAGTTTTGTAGTTTAGTTACTAAAAAATGTTATATGAATGTTTTAAACTGTATTGAAAAAGAAAATCTTATTTTCAAACCTTTGTAATCTTCTTTAATTCTTGAATAATGAGTTTTCCCATTTCCTCCTGGGCCAATCGACAGCCCAGAAAATCAAATCGTGCTCCATCTGCACTTCTGTCTAGAAAATTATCCACCAAAGCACAAAAAAAATCTCTGATTGGGTTGTTGTTAAATATGGTTTCAGCTGACAATATCTGGTACAAAATATGTAAAAAAGAAGAAGAAAAACAAGAAGTTTTCTCATGTGATATATGAAGATATTTGAATAATTCTTTCATATTACTTATAAAGAAGTGAACTTAAGAAATATATATAGTTATATGTAGATAATACTATATGAATTTAAACAATTTATATATAAATGCATTGATAATGAGAACAGTCACATAAACACTGGTCTTCAGTTTCAGAAGAATTAAACACTTATTACTCAGGAAATAGCAATATCTACATTATATAGAGGGTTGAGTGCATTATATTAAAACAATTTTGAATATGCATATCACCAAGTCACCTGAAAAATACAGCTCATATAAAACCAGACTGGAATGGCATGTATCAGAACGACATTTTGATATTATTTGCTATTTAATAGGTAGTGTGATGCCACCCAAAACTGATTGCTTTTGGAAATGGTATGTAACAGCCCCTTCCAATGCAAAATATTCATACACTGAGATCACAAAGGTGCATTCAAATGAATTCAGAATTTCCTAGATGCAGAGTATATCCCTTATACTTAATGGCAAATAAAAACAAAGAAATATGGATCAATTTGTGACACCAGGACCATCTAGACAGAGCCTTGCAATAAATCATACTTCAGCCATAGTAAGCAAAGTAACAGGTAAAAATCCATGAACAAAAGGGTCAGTGGCATCTATCCTGTCATGTGATAATGCAGTAAATCTCTCAGCATGAACCAAGAATATCAGGTGAAGAAGGAAAAACTAAATAGTCCCCCCCCCCCTGACCGTTCTACCATCAAGGAAGGAGTGGACTTAAAGGTCACAGAGAAAAGCCCCAAAATTTCAGAAACCCAAATAACTAATTGAAGAAAAAAAGTAGAAGGTGGATGATTCAAATTGTACTCGTGAGAAGTTGACTTAGTAAAGAAAAGCATTAGAAAAAACCGAGTCCAAATTCTCCACAGAATAACCAGAATCAACAAAGAAAGCAGCTTCAGAGGCACCAGGAGAAAACACCTCTTGGCCTAATGTATGTCTTCATCTCCCAACAGATCAAAACACAGCCTCAACTGAGAGTGACCCCTCCCTGACCATAGAGAGACACAAGATAAAGAAGGAATAAGAAAGATTGGATTAGCCACTGTGCTGGCAATGGTAATATGGGAGTTCATATCTGCAAACATCAATTCAGTTTTTTTTTGTTTGTTTATTAAAGGAAATTAAAATGATATGGAAATCCACAAGGCAATGCGAAAATTGCAACCCATAACGAAACAAACCACAGCACTTTGTCAGAAAAAACTGACCAACACTCTGTCGTGAAAAAGTGATTACATTATCTGAGTGAGGTGCTTATATACAGTGTCAGGATAGAGGTTGCATTGATGCGAGTGGAGAGATTTAAAAGTTAGATATTCCCAAAGGTATTTAAGTGGAGTATAAAAGACTGGAGTATGTGAAACCAATGCTTAGATAGGCAAAGCCAATGTCGAGGAATAGCTAAAATGACAGTGGAGTGTAAGTATGTTTTGAAAGCATTTACTCAACTTATGTATATTTTGTATATTACATGAGAACTCTTAAGTTTTACCTAATTAACACCAACATTACAGATACAATAATTTCAATAAATTTTACATCATGTCTTAAGTTTGTGCATATCCTCATATTTATTCCAAAAGAAGACTAAATATTGATCTTATTTTCAACATTATGGCAAATCTTTAGAAAATGCAGGAGTGGTATGTGGCATCAAACTAAATACTCATTCTGCAAATACTGCACATTATTTGAAAGTTTTATACTAAACACTTCAGTTTCAGTTCAGGGTAGCAGTAAATGTATGAATTTAAAAGCACAAGCTTTTTTTTCTTAATTTCAAAAATAAACTGAATTATACATACATGAATATCTACTACATTTAACAATGAGGTAGAGTTGTCACCATTCCAAAAAGAATGTATATAACCAGGAACACAGAGGTCTCAGAAGTGAGTCACCCTTTCAGGGTATGGAAGAAATGACAGAAGAGGTGTCTTAATGGATCATGATAAGAAGACCAGACAGACAAGATAAAAGATGATGGCAAGCATATAGAGTAGTTACCATTCTGAGGACATAGAGATAGAGAAATCTCTCCTCTGGAGACCAGATGCCAGAAATGACTCCAGTGTCCAGAACTGCACTCTCTCCTGAACAGAGGCATTGGTAGAAAAGTGTGCTTCTAGGATTGATTATCATCAAGTTCAAGGCAACACAAAGTGCCATCAGTGCTTGTGCTCACCATGGATATGGAAACCCACATGTTTGAGCAGAATAAGCCCAGAGACTTACTAATGAGCCATGAATGGCTCTGAGCTGATGCAAGTTTGAATAAAGTGAGGGAAGAAGAACATCCAGGGTCAAGTAGGATCAAATAATCCAATACAACAGTGAGAGGGTAAGATACAGTGGATCTCTGGATAGTGACAGGCCAGAAACCACTAAAGAGGACACATAGAGGCACATACAAGAGGAGCAAGGAACACAAGAAAAGGGACAAAAATTCTTGTACAGGAAATGAAAGCCTTAGTATCTAGAGCTCTGTGTTTCAGAGACATAACAAAGTAGGCTGAGCCTGCCCCTCACACACAATGAAAAAGGCTCCCAAGTAAATGAGATAAATGGTAGGGGTCAAGACTGAATTGGAGAGTTGAAACAGCCGTCCCAAAGAGATGACTCTTGAAAGAGAGTGAAAGTCACCACAGAGGAAGCCACATTTGGCAGAGGTAAGTAGAGGCAAAACATTTATACGTTAGTGGAATAAGAGGTCTCAAGAATGAAACCTCCAAGCAAAAGCCCATTGGATGACAAAGTATAAGAAATATCCACCTTCCAAAAATAACAAATACATTGCAAAGAAACAGTGCAAGACAGAGGTCCTGAAAAGAAGATTGAGGGGGATGAATGTCAGAAAGTAATGCAACCCAACAAAGTACATCCTGGAAACAAAGAAACCAAATTAACTACTACAAAATGAAACAAATCAAGAGCACGATGCAAAACAGATACATGCAAGCTGCCCATGAAAAACTGACAGGATCATAAAGTAAAACCTCTAAAAGAAGGAAAAGAGTGATAAGTAGTGTAGAAATTGAGTCAGTAAGAATTGAAGATAAGTAGATGGATAAAAAAAAGAAAGAAAAGAACCCCAAACTGAAAGAAGAGATTTAGGTGATCTATGGAATCCAAAATGGTAGGACTACTAATCCTCATCAGGAAGAGGGAACTAAAAGCAAAGGCAGATGTGAAAACAAAAGTGATGAAACACCTTACAAGATAGAGCTGGCTCAGCTAAGAAATGAAAGCAGGAGACTGGAAATCCTGGATGCAAGGTCAGAATGGAATCAATCACCTGGTGCACAATGGCAGTAATACCACTGGCCACTATACTATTGGATGACTTCTGTTGAGGAAGAGTACCCAAATCTTGAGATATCAAAAACATTGAAACATGAATGCATAATTCATTTAATCCAAAAACATATGTTTTAGGTGGTTCTTTGTTGTAAACTATGAGTAATATATAATGGCACAGAATCCAACAATTTTTTTTCTATTTGCTTGTGTGTGTAAAAATAAAACAAGCCAATATGTTGATGATGGATAGGTTTAATGATGACCTTGAAGAGTACTGGATGAAATCTGTATGTTGGGTAAAACAATGGGCACTAGTGCTACCAAAGAAAACTTAAAATACAAAATGACACATATCAAAAAGTACAAATCTGATTAAAAGAAAGACATCAGCTGAAGATAATTCAAGTGAAAGTTCCAACTGAAAAGTTTAAAATTCTATATCTTTCTTTCACATAATAAAGAAAAATAAGGAAAGATATACAACACTACAAATCGTGGCAAAAGTTTAAAATAATAAGCATAAAAATATCAGTGATTCCTAGAGAAAATATATATCTGAAGACAAGAAGTGTCAAAGAAAAAATGACCTTATTTAAATTCTAGTGCTCATGGGGATTACTGCCCATGAAGGATATCTCAACCTATTATTGATGGAGGGCTATAATCTAATGATGACTACATCATAAGCTGGCACAATACATGTTAACATGTGTAGAACTTGGAACTTTATTCAAGTCAAAAATATTCACAGCAGTGTGCAAAGTATTAGCTATTTGTTATGCAGAGAGATAATTAGTGTTTCTGAATAAAGTATTTTATTTCTAAAGACTCCATATATCTACTTTTTACCCTTATACAGTTTCATAATCTAATATTTTACATTTTTAATTTTTATTTCCATGGGTCAAGTCCAAGCTGAAACCTCCTGTATACCAGATGAATGCTCTACAAACTCAGCAAAAGGTTGAAAAATACAAAGCATTCCATGCAGAAAAGATATAGATTACACATGAATGCTAAACTTTTCCTCTGAAAATGTATTTCTGATAGATGCTCATCTCTGCATAAAGAAATGCTATCTTCCTCACACATCTGAAATTTACATGCCACTAACCTTGAAGTAACTCTCACCTAAATTCACATGTTTTACAAGAAATGAGCTGCTGCATGATGACATGACCAATCGAGAAAAGCCCTCCATCAATAGGAGGGTGACAGAACCTCCATGTGCAATAACTTCACCTATGCACTTGCACTCATGATAACTTCATTCTTTGACGAGGAAAGAAAAAGAATATGCACCAGAAGTGAGGAGGATGGGTGAGAATGTGTGAGGAGGTATCTATTGGAAATACATCTTCAAGTTAGGAAAATATTAACCTCCAAGACGATAATGCACCTCCTCACACAGAAATGCTAGAATCCTTCACTGAAATGGTAGAGGGGCTAATGTAAAATTTTATCTAGATAAGACAAATGAGCCCTATGTGTTGCAGGGATGGGTGGAATGTAAATATGATCATTGAAACACTTGCACACGAGTAGTCAGCGAGCCAGTACATATAGTGTGGTTGGGGTGTGTTCAGATCATACCTTGTGTGGTCACCTCGACTATATTGAACAGACTCTGGTTGAAAAAGGCGAGCCCTTTAGTTATGTATTGTGTTTTCATACAATGTGTGCTCACCTCAACTATACTGAATAGACACTGGCTGCTGAAGGTGGATACAAGAGATATCTTTATTGTTTTTTAGGGATCCACTGTCCAAGCAGCTAGAAACTAGTAAGTAGAAAGGGTCTCCCATGCTCCACTTGAAGAAAAATGATGGGAGAATTAAGAGCCAATCCAGATCCAAACAATCAAATAGGTGAGAGATAGAAGGAAGGGAGATAAGAGAGAAAGTACAGTTACCTTCCTGTGTGGTAGAAGTCTTAGGAAGGAATGATCGAACACAAGTGTAAATGCATGGAGGTTATGTCACCTTCCTATTTGTGGATGGATTTTGTTACATGATGATGTCATCATGCCCTGGTGCAGTTCACATAAAACACATGAATTTAGGTGGGAGTTACCTCAAGGCTAGTGTCATGCAAGTCTCATAGGCAGGTGCACAAGGAGGTAAGTTATCATCACGGAATTTAGATGTTCTCCCTTAGCTAATAATTTACATTTCCTAGTTTATAATCATAAAAAATAAACACATGAACTTCTAAGTTATCTCCAAGAGTATAATTGGTTTACATTTTCCACATTTATCTTCTTTTAATGTACTAAAAAAAAAGAGGAAAACAAGATAAAAGCTATAAATGTTTTTACTAATTGTATAAAAGACTTATATACCTCTATTTCAAATCCATCAAAACAAATGCAATTCAAAACCTAACTTTTAGCATTACCCATAAACAAGTAATTCTTACCCGTCACACTTCCTAGTTCTAACCTTAATAAGAAAAGTTATACAAAAGCTTAAGGTGTTTCTGGATCAGTTTTATATAATCATCTTATTTGATAAAAACTACATAAATATATATTCATTTCATGAAGTTTCTAAGTGTCTTTAACTTACCCTCTTTTTATTAACAGTAAGATATATTTCAGACTCTGTTCCGTGAGCTATGAAAGCAATGCTTGCTACCTTTGTTCCACCAAGTTTTGCAGCAACCATTCCTAAAAATATACATATATATGTTTTTAATGTTAATTTACTAGTATTTTAATCATACACTCTTAATATTTTTTGACAGTAATCTATAATTGTATTACAAAAGAACTTTCTCAGTGTACGAGCCTAACAATTTCAACCTACAAATTCACTAGAATGGAAGATTTTTATCAACTGATTGATGTGTTTAATATATAATGTCACTTACTGAAACTTCATTACTTTAACTGTTCTGTGTTATTCAACTATTTATTAACTCATCCATTCATCATATACTGATAAAACATAAAACTAACACAAAACCTGTCAGTGTGGGGAAACTTGATTCTTACCAAATAAGTCATTCAGTAAATTAATCTCCTACAGATACAACACAAAACCTGTCAGTGTGGAAAAACTTGATTCTTACCAATTAAGTCATCCAGTGAATTAATCTCGTACTGATACAGCACAAGACTGATACAGGACCGGACAGCTTGGGGAATCTGGCTGGAAAATTTGTATTTACTTGAAACAATTAGAAGTCTTCTTGCAATGTTCAGATGATTAACTAAAAACTGAGCAGATGTTTCATCAGAAGAATAAGTGTTTCCAGTGCTTGATATTCCTTGTAATGATGCCTCCCACACCTCAAAAGCGGTTGTAGGGTTCTTCATTCCTCAACTGTCTGTTACTCCACCTGCAGTCATGATTTTTTTGTAGTGACTTTCCCAATATTTCATTGATCAACTGTAAATATAGAGGGAAAGTAAAGAAATTTACTTGGAATTATAATATATAATGTATATGCTTATTTTATACACATATCCCCTTAATAATTTAATGTAAATTTACAAACCACACTTAGCTGAAAAACTTTAAAATTTAAATTCTGAAAAACAAAAATCACCAAACTCTACCAAATGTATGTATAAAAGTAGAAAGAAAACTTGAGGGGCACCATGTTTTGGTGTAGGAGCTACGATCCTCACTGGGTTGGTTATAAAGGAAACTGCCATTATAAAACATGACAAGAACAAGCAAAATAAAATATGTAAACAATGACAAAGAGAGAATGAAATCTTGGATGACATTTTCAGGCATATTCTCTTTTAAGAAAGTGCAGACACAAATAACTGACTTGAGTGATAATTTCATCCATAGAAGTTAATTAAAAACACTTCATTTTAAGTCTTGCATGTAGAATAATCTATAGGGACATTGATCATTTTGTATGTACATAAGCATAGAAAAAGAACTGGTTAAATGAATAACCTCCTTCACAGAAATTAATCCAGCACACTTGGTTTTAAGTCACAGTATAATATCCAGGAAGATTAGTCACAAGTTTAGTTTGACAGCTAGTTAAACAATAGCTTGGAGAGAGGAAAAAGGGATAAGTCTATACACTTGAGCAATTACTTTTATGGTAACTAGTAAATAGT